GAATTTTCCCCAAAAAGGGGTTATTTTTTCAAATTGGGGACGAAAAATTCAAGTTGGGGGCTTAAGGATTTAGTGGTGATCTTTTTAAAAATTTTGAGGATTTTTTGAGGATTTTTTTGCAATAAAAATTCTAACTACTTTACGTATTTTGATATTTACATTTATGTTACATATGCGAACGCATCGATAAAATACGTTCCCCACTAACCACACAAATGGATTTGCTATCTAAGTTGTGTTCCAGTACTTTTTTAGTAGTAAAACCACAGACAAATGAAGATATAGACAACGAAATGCTCTCACCGCTTATCTTCGAAAAAAATCGAATCAGCAGATGTCGTCTATATCGTTTCAGGGGTTTGAGTGAGAATATTGAAGTCACTCAATTCTAGAACGTTAAAAATAACAAAAACTGTAGGATATTTGTCAGTTAAAAATTGTTCCATAATAAAAGAAATGGGAAAGTACGTGATGACATCAAAAAATTCCGGAATGATCAAGTGAAATTCTTGAAAAACGATAAAATGTGTTTTCGAAGTCGAGTGGGTTGAACGCGTAAATCAGCATGTTGACTATGCAAAACATGATGAGAGCCACCTGGATAAAAATACAAAACTAACTTTTCGTTGTCTATATCTTCATTTGTCTATGGTAAAACTAGCAGAAGAGAGAACAGTTCGAAAGGTCATTCTCATTTAGGTGTGCTCAAAAAATAAGGGAACGGAACATTAGCAGAAATGCGATAAAATATCAAAATTCAAGATTCCAAAAGTAAAGAAAAGGACGCCAAAATTTAAAAAAATGAGTATTGAAGACGATAAGTTAAAATTAATAATCTATAATAATAATTAATAATCTGATTCCTCATTCAGCCAGTCCTCTTCACTGCTGGAATCATCCAAAAGTGAATACATCAGTTGCTCCATATTTTCTCTTTTTGTTTTTTGCACGACAAATATTAGTTTTTCCTTTAACTTTTAAGTTGATGATTTTCTTTATTTTTGTTGCGATACGCGAACTTTGAAATGTATCAATACATTTTTCAACCTTGTTAGCGCTGCCAATTAAATGTAAAATTTACAATATGCACATTTCTGCTCGGCCAAATTCATGTAGCTAAAACAAGCAGAAATGTGCACCACTCAGCGCCATTTCTTTCTCGAGAGAACTACAAGTTTTGCTAGTTTTTGGAGTACGGGAACGCGTTGTGGCAGAATTAGTACAAATTAGTACTAATTTGTAGGTTCTGGAACACAACTCTAGTTATATCTTTCCATACTTTGCGTTTGCCTATAACACACGCACATTGCGATTTGGAAAAAAGGTCTCGGTTGCAGTGATGTCAAAAAAGGTACATTGTAGAACAGTTACATTGATATTTGCATTGAAAGCGCTAAAAGTTGCATGATTGTTTTACATAGAAGGTGCCAACCAGTAATGCATGTGTAGAACGAATTTTTCAGTTATGAACTCAGTGAAAACCAAACTTAGAAATAAAATGCAGTATGATTTGTTGGAAGCTCTTTTGATAATAAATACTCAATTTTCAAATAATTCCATTTTCTGCAAAAATATTGAGCCTACCAAAGAAATGTTAAAGCTTTTTAGTTATAAGAGTTTATACAAACCAAATGAGACTGAAAATGCCGACGGTTTGGAATTTGAAGTTTTTGACGTGGTTGCATTGCAACTTTGAAAACTATAGTCATGAAATTAAAATGTTTTATTTATTTGTTATTTTCTATTTTAATGTTATTTTATATATATATAATATGCAAGATAAACTAGTCTACGAATTGAATTCTATGTACAAATATTTTTTCAAATAAATTTACTCTGTTCGTTTTTTGTTAAATGCTTGGGGATTTTTTGAGGAAATTGAATCAAATTTGAGGAGATTTGGGGAAAACGTTTTTTGATTTTGGGGACGAGAAACAGAAAAATACTGGCAACACATAATGTGTGTACTGTTTTGAATAAAAAATACAATAATTTTAAATTATTTCACATTTGGTTTCAAAATAAATGCAAATTTTCGACCTGAATGGGTAACAAATTGTACAATTTTGTGATAAAACTGTATTGTCCCACTATTTTAGATTCCATCTCGAGGAATAACCTCGAAATTCCATTCTTATTACGCGGGTTTTTCCCAATGTAAGAATTTGGTTAAAAAAATTAAAAATAAACAAAGCCTACTATTGGATATTTAAAAGTCTATTTGACACTATAACTCTAGCATAGAGTTGAATATTTTTAGTTTCTTTGAAGTTGAGCAACCTTTCTTATTGAGCCATGGTTATGGTATTAATTTTTCAAAATTTTTTACGAATTTGAATAACTTTTCATTCAAATGTTTCAATTTCAAATTTAGTTTGACAGTTCATTGTCCCAGCAGCTGTGTCGACGCAACTACCTGTATTCTTCTACTGTGGATAAGGTAGAGCTAGCAGCTGATTACAATTTTTTTCTAAGTGTGCCCGACTTATGCCAATTTTTTTGCCATTCCGTTTGTAACATCTTTAAATATTCGTCGTAGACCCCATAAAGTATATATATTCATAATCAGCATTAAATTCTAAGTCGATTTAACGTTGTCCGTCTGTCTGTCCGTCTGTCTGTTGAAATCACGATACAGCCCACAAAATTTAGCAGAGCAATTTGTATTGTGTCTAGGATGGTTGGTATTGAAAATGAGATATATCGGTCCGCGTTGTGGTATAGTCCCCATATAACGGTACGTCCCGATATTCGGTATTTTGATGATTTGTGCCACATTTTTCACGGATTGTCTGAAAATTGGTATTTGTAGGTCATAACGGGTCCCTGTACGTGTGGCAAAACATTGCATGTATAGGTCCACGTTTTGGTATAGCCCCCATATAACGGTACCTCCCGTTATTCGGTTTTTTGGTTGGTTTTTGCCTCATTTTTTCACTGATTTGTCTAAACATTAGTTTTTGTGGGTCATAATGGGTCCTAGTTCGTGTGGCGAAACATTGTATGTATAGGTCCACGTTTTGGTATAGTCCCCATATAACGGTACCTCCCAATATTCGGCATTTTGATGATTTTTGACACATTTTTTCACGAATTTCTCTGAAAATTGGTAGTTGTAGATCATAATGGGCCCCAGTTCGTGTGGCGAGTCATTGTAATTATAAGTCCACGTTTTGGTATAGCCCCAATATAACGGTACCTCCCGATATTCGGTAATTTGATGATTTTTGCCATATTTTTTCACATATTTGTCTGAAAATTGGTATTTGTAGGCCATGGGTCCTAGCTCCGTTGGCGAAGCATTGCATGTGTAGGTCCACGATGTGGTATAGCCCCGATATAACGGTACCTCCCGATATTCGGCATTTTAATGGTTTTTGCCACATTTCTTCTAATGTTTCCTTTACCCTAAGGTGGAGGGTATTAAAAGTTTGGCCCGGCCGAACTTAATGTTGTTTTAATTGTTTTGTATGTATTTACTGTTTTGAAAAATAAAAACAAAATATTTTTTAAAATCAATGATTTGAAGAAACTTAGTTTGTGGGGCGCACATTAATGATATTAACAAGATTTACCATGGAATTGAAAGATTGAACACTTTGTATATATTTGTGAGGTAACATCTAGACATTTTATTCATCTTTTGCGCTATTTGGCTCATTTTAAGAATAATCAAATAATACTAATATAATTTTGTTGCATATAATTTTGAGTAATTCTGACAGGAAGCGGGCATAGCCTCAGGGCTGTATTTCTCTAGTTTTACGTATTTATTCTACCTCCTTATTGTACCATGTATACAAATATATTACTTAATATGGTGTCGCTGTTCCTTTCCGCACCATCGCCGTTGGCGTTTTGTAGAATATAACAGCATTATTTACTGCATTGACATTTTATATGAAAAAAGTGGATACCTATTGTATATCAAGAAATGGAATAAAATCATAAAACGTCATATCGAATTTGACACTAGTATTACTATAGAGTTAAATCAGTTAAACAGCGATTTATCATGAATAAATTAAAAATGGCAAAAAAAAACAAACGATTACGTTTGCGATGTCTAATATATATGTTTTTAAATCGCTTGTCCATATATAAAACTCGGGAAGAAGAGTTTTATATATGAAGAAGAGAAGAAATTTGTCCAGCTAAAATTTACAAACTCTCAGTGAAAGAACTGTCAAAATTGTTCTGTCAAATCGCTCTCTTTTGCAGATCTTTCGTGTTAGCAGACGACTTTCAGTAACAACTTGCAACAATTGTTACAAATTTTGGGGCAACCAGACACACCTAGATTATGAGGTGTTGTGTTGTGTTTGTAAACAGACGTATATTAGAGAACAAGCAAAGACCAATCCTTCCTTTAGTTCATGCATATGTCTATTCACCACTTCTAAGATTTCTTCCCTATCCCTCAAAGTAAAAATGATTCACCCAGATAATAGTCTATTTTCTTCCATAAGTTCTTAATCAGTTCATAAATGAACATTAGATCTGGAACGTGTCATACAAAGGGTCAAATATTGAATAATCATTATTCTCATAAAATTTGATTTTATTCTTTATTTCTTTTCAAAGTATCAATATTAGATTTAGTGAAAACTTGGAATTATTTAATTTTTTTATGATACGTCCTTCAAATGTAAACGTAAATAAATGGTCAAATTCTGAGAACATATATCTGCCGAAAATCCGACAGAACTGAACTAAAAACTGATTTGTGATAAATATGAGATGTTGATTGGTCTGAAAAATAAATGATAATGGAGGAGTAGTATTTTTATGCATCCAAGGCAGGAAGAAGGGTCCCTACTCCAAAATCTGTTGTCGAAATTGTTGACTGGTAAACGATTTAGAGTATTTAACATTTCATAGCTTCTGAATTAGAGAAGAATAGTTTTGAAATTGCCCAAAAATAAATTCTTTTAAAAGACTTTTTCCATTTTCCAAATTTTACACTCATACAACCCAATTTGGGATAGAAAGATCCGGTGTAATATTTGGCATGCACTTTTATTGATAGAGTAATGCTTTAAGACTTTGAGATAAAAAAATGTTTCTCATTTCAAAAATAATAATAAATAATTTAGGTCTAAAAAAATCAAAAAATTCCAATATGAGATATGCAAATATGCTTTCTAAAAAAAGCCCAGAATGTTCTTCAAAAATCCATAATTCGGGAACCGGAAATTTTCTTTAAAAATCGATGTGTTGAAGGATTGGTGTGTTGAACGAATATAGATTTTTTATACATCCACAGAAAATCAATTATTTGGAGTAGCAGTTATTGCAATTTATACTCATTTTTAGGGATTGTTTCTTGGTTTCTTGCCTTATTTCGGGTCTTCGACTTTTTGTTTGCTTTTAAACAAAATTTCCTTGCAAAAAAATATATTTTTTAAAAGTAAATAATAACACAGCAAAATTACTCAATGTTTCAAAATGAAATGTTCTGATTGGTGCAAAACAATTTGACTCAAATTTTATGTGTCAAGTAAATTCGCCTTGCTTACAATTTTGACATATCAAGTTCCGACCATGGTACCATGGCCCAAGGCCTATATAAGGTCGGCCAGTAAGACCATCTGACGACCAAGTTTTCTGTCAAAATATATTTTGAATTCGCCCTATGAAAACAAAAACAAAATTATTACGTTGTTGTCAAAAAAATCGAAATAATTTAAATTATTAAAGCAGTTCGAAAACAAATCTATATAAATAATAAATAAACAGAAAAATTTTTAAATTTGAAAATGAGAATTTCCCAAATATGCAGAAAGAAGGAGGTTCCAGGAAGGGGTACACTTTTTCGGTTCAAAAGGATGAAGTGTCGAAGGCAGAATGGAGTAAAGTTTGCCAGTTAGAAATTAAAGCAACGTCTTCTGTATGCTCTGAACACTTCGACGTTGCTGATGTGGTGAAATCTGGAAGAGAATGTTATCGCGATAATATTCTAGAGGGCGTATGAAAGCCTTGGGCGCACAAACATTTTGGCTGCAGACCTTGGACATTCCAACAGGTCTCAGCACCATCCATTTTAGCACGCGCCACCCAAGAATGGTTACAAAATGAGGTTTCTCGCTTCATTTCTACTCCGCAACGGGGTGTATACGACGTGGACATACATAGGCATTGTTTGTCATACGCCATTACCATATTCAAATTCGAAACTTGAAATAAACGGTGAATAATGTAGCTAAAATCATCAAAATATCGTATATAAGGAGGTGCCGTTATATTGGAGCTGTGCGAAGACCTGGACCAGCATAGACAATTTTCTGTCACAGGCTGTAGCATCCATTACGAACTTCAAATACCACATCTCAAACAATTTCGGTGGGTATTGTACCTAAAATCGTCAAAATACCGAATATAGGGAGGTACTGATATATGGGGCCTATACGAAGACCTGGACCCGCACAGACAATTTTCTGTCACAGACTGAAGTTCCCATAACGAACTTCAAATACCAATTTTGAAACAATTCCGGTGAATAATGTCGCTAAAATCATCAAAATACCGAATATTGGGAGGTACCGTTATATGGGGGCTATATGAAGACGTGGACCTGCACAGACAATTTTCCGTTTTAGGGTGTAGTATCCATTTTGAACTTCAAATACCAAATTTGAATTTCCCGTGAATAATGTCGCTAAAATCATCAAAATACCGAATATCGGGAAGTACCGTTTATGGGGGCTATACGAAGACGTGGACCTGCACAGACAATTTTCCGTTTTAGGGTGTAGTATCCATTTTGAACTTCAAATACCAAATTTGAAACAATTCCCGTGTATAATGTCACTAAAATCATCAAAATACCGAATGTAGAGAGGTACCGTTAAATGGGGGCTATATGAAAACGTGGACCTTCATGGCCCATTTACGAACTTAACCTGCCTACTGGAAAAATAACATGTGTGCAAAATTTTAGCCATCTATCTCAATTAATTCGAAAGATAGCGTGATTACAACAGACAGACGGACAACGCTAAATCGACTTAGAATTTTACGCTGATCAAGAATATATATACTTTGTTGGGTCTGACATGAGTATTTCGAGGAGTTACAAACGGAATGACAAAGTTAATATACCCTCCATAGTATGGTGGAGGGTATAAAAAAGTATGGCGTTTGACTTTGTTGCAATTTTTTTATCTCAAACTGTATGAATAATTGATAGGTATAAAATTTGGTACGGCAAAAACGCGTAGAGATGTCTTGCCGAAGGGAGCCCCCGATTTGGCTTAGAAAACTTAGATCGGGTTCGTTGATGAGCAGTATTGGTCCAATTCTACTGGTACCTACTTCAAAAAAGGTCAACAATTTCAAAGAAAATAATTTACCTTATACAACAAAGACAGATCATCCAATTTTGTTCAAACTCTCTATATCAGTGCTAGGATCATATCAGTCTACTCTCTCAAGTACCTCCCCAACAGAGGGTCAAAATTTTGAAGAATTTATCTATCATACAATGCATAATAATCATACCTCCCACACAAAAGTCGACTTTCTGATACATGATGTTTTCCTCTTGGTTTTGTTTTCATTTGTTGGCAATTAACAAATTTGCCGTGATTATTAGATGTCAGGGCAAAACAAGTTTTTTCGCCTAGAAAAAAAAAACAAAAATTGACATTAAATTTAACAGACAGAGCTGTATTTTTTTTTTTTTCTAGGCGAAAAAACTTGTTTCGCCCTGACATCTAATAATCACGGCAAATTTGTTTGGAGAACGATGGTAATAAACAAACGTTGTTTTTATAAAAACAACAAAAAAGGGATAAAGCCTGACCATTTTGCAACAACAAAATACTACGGTATCCCGAACAAACAAGCCACACTGTTCTATTAATAGACAAGGCACGGTCGACGAAGGGGTTTTTGTTGTAACAGACAAAACCAACTTACATGGTTATTCTACTTCGTTCAGGTTGAACGAAAGCATAACAAGTGGAGAAAGATGTAAATGTTTATAAGTGCGGTTGTAAGATTTAGAAGACTTTCCAAAAGAATTTTAGTTTTATTTAATTCTTTGGTTCCTCTTCTATTGAGCTTACGATCTCGTCACTTGGGTAAAAAATGCTTTTTGTCAAAGAAGTTATTTTTAAAATAACTTCTGGGGAGAATATCCCAGACAAAAAACAAGGGAACTGATGAGGATTGGTGGCTCTTTCCGAAACCTAGGTATTCCCTGCCTTACCCCCTGGTAAACATTACCATCGTTCTCCACTAATAAACAAACGTTGTTTTTATAAAAACAACAAAAAAGGGATAAAGCCTGACCATTTTGCAACAACAAAATACTACGGTATCCCGAACAAACAAGCCACACTGTTCTATTAATAGACAAGTCACGGTCGACGAAGGGGTTTTTGTTGTAACAGACAAAACCAACTTACATGGTTATTCTACTTCGTTCAGGTTGAACGAAAGCATAACAAGTGGAGAAAGATGTAAATGTTTATAAGTGCGGTTGTAAGATTTAGAAGACTTTCCAAAAGAATTTTAGTTTTATTTAATTCTTTGGTTCCTCTTCTATTGAGCTTACGATCTCGTCACTTGGGTAAAAAATGCTTTTTGTCAAAGAAGTTATTTTTAAAATAACTTCTGGGGAGAATATCCCAGACAAAAAACAAGGGAACTGATGAGGATTGGTGGCTCTTTCCGAAACCTAGGTATTCCCTGCCTTACCCCCTGGTAAACATTACCATCGTTCTCCACTAATAAACAAACGTTGTTTTTATAAAATCAACAAAAAAGGGATAAAGCCTGACCATTTTGCAACAACAAAATACTACGGTATCCCGAACAAACAAGCCACACTGTTCTATTAATAGACAAGTCACGGTCGACGAAGGGGTTTTTGTTGTAACAGACAAAACCAACTTACATGGTTATTCTACTTCGTTCAGGTTGAACGAAAGCATAACAAGTGGAGAAAGATGTAAATGTTTATAAGTGCGGTTGTAAGATTTAGAAGACTTTCCAAAAGAATTTTAGTTTTATTTAATTCTTTGGTTCCTCTTCTATTGAGCTTACGATCTCGTCACTTGGGTAAAAAATGCTTTTTGTCATAGAAGTTATTTTTAAAATAACTTCTGGGGAGAATATCCCAGACAAAAAACAAGGGAACTGATGAGGATTGGTGGCTCTTTCCGAAACCTAGGTATTCCCTGCCTTACCCCCTGGTAAACATTACCATCGTTCTCCACTAATAAACAAACGTTGTTTTTATAAAATCAACAAAAAAGGGATAAAGCCTGACCATTTTGCAACAGTAAATTATTTTCTTTGAAATTGTAGACCTTTTTTGAGATAGCTACCAGTAGGATTAGACCAATACCGCTCATCTACGAACTCTATCTAAGCTTTCTAAGCCAAATCAGGGGCTTCCTTCGAGAGTTATCGTGTACGTGAAATGGATGGACGGACAGAGACCTCTAGATCGATTTCAACTGTCCTGAAACGGAAGTTCCATTTGTGGTATAGCTATAGGCAGCAGTCTAAATCTCTTCCCAGATTTCACCACATGAGCAACGTCGATATGTTCAGAGAATACAGAAGACGTTGCTTTAAATTCAACCTGACAAACATTACTGCATTCTGCCTCAAAATATACCCCCTCCGGAAACCTCCTTTTTTCTACATATTTGGCAAATTCTCATTTTCAAATTCACAAATTTACCAGTTTATTTATAATTTACTAGCTGGCCCGGTCCGCGTTACCGGCCCGTAGTTTTAGTCTTTAATGATTACTTTTTTTTAGTAGATTAATTCACAGATCTGGCTCATATTAGTGAACCTAGGAGGTAAAGTAATTTGGGGACTATACCAAAATGTATACCTTTGTTAAGATTATTCTGTATTTTTAAAATTATTCGGTATTTCAAGTTTGTAGCCAAATCGATTGCAAATTTGTTCGAAATAGTTAACATCAAGAGTTAACTTTAATGCGCGCTATTCCGAATCATTGGCCTACATTGAACATTTTCTTCGAAGTGGTTTTCTACGTCCTTAGAAACCAAGATGCCAAATAAGGGCCAAATCAATTGAAAAATGTGGCCAAGACCCCGGGAATAGATTAAACCAGGGGACACCTTGATATGACGGCCATACCAAAACGTATATTGATAATTTTTGGGAGGATAATTTTTTCTTACTAAGAACTCAAATCATTAATATTTGCGGAGAAATGTGAAATGTAAATGCATGAAAAATGTGGCTAACATATAAAATATACTTGATATCGGGATAAACCCTTATGTGGAGGCTATACCAAAACGTTGACCGATATCATCCATACTTTGTACAAATTCATAACCATAAGCATGTATCAAATTTGAATGCTCTATCTTAAATGTTGCGAAACATAGAGCCACATATTGAGGCCCTTTGGTACGACTACGGCTATATAGTGGGCCATAAAAAAGTTTGGGAAAGTAAACCTCATTAGGTATTTTGATCTACTAACAGAATACTATTCTTTAAGAATATGTCAACCCCTTTATTGGCTGTTGCACAGCGTAATTACTCCCTATTGCGCATAGTCCCCCGTATACCGGTACCTGCGATTTAAAGTAGGGTATAGGATAATACTTTTCTATACTATACTTTTCTTACTAAAGTTCCAATTTGATTTACTATTTTGTTAAGTCCGCATATTGCAGTAACCCTTTATATTCTGAAATTCATTGACATCCATCCCATTTCTTTTTCAGAATTAAAAAAGGATTGTATCCTTTTCTTCCAGGAGACAATTCTAAACGGGCTATCATTTTGAAATTCTATTCCATTGAATTTTTTTCTCGTTTTTTCCCCGATTTTCGTTTTTTTTTTTTTTTTTTTGATTTTTCTCTTTTCTATCACAAATTGTGCGAAGTTTGGAGAAAAATATTTGAGGCCCTTTGTGTATGGTTAGGGCTATATATAATGGGCCCTAAAAAGTTTGATATGATGATTGATTTTGATATGACCCCTACACAGATCTATCGGCCATTTTTTGTTTGTTTCGAAATATTACAGTTTAGCAACGTATTGTGCGCTAATCTCATGTTCTTTACCATAAATTCAGAATTCAAACAAAAAAACCAGTAAAGAAAGTCCTAAAGTCGGGCGGGGCCGACTTTATGATACCCTACACCACTTTGCTAATTTAGTAGAGCTCCACGTAACAATTAAAAGTTTTTATGGGAGGATTCAATCATACACGCTATGATTATAATTATAATTTAAAGCTCAAAGGACCAAATATGCCGAAGCATTTGTATCTTTTAAATTCGGACTTGTATTGCCCATTTGGTGCAAAATTAATTTAAAATCAGATAAAGATATATATGGGAGCAATATCCAAATCTGAACCGATCTCGAAAAAATTTTGCAAATATATTTCTGAGCTGTATATGATATATTTCCTGAAATATCGTTGTTACAGAGTGCATATTACGGCTGTGGGTAACAAATACTAGAAATCGGATGAACAATATATATGGGAGCTATAGCTATATCTTAACCGATCTTCACCAAATTTGACATAGTAGCTTCTGGACTCAATTCGGTCGTAAGTGCCAAATTTCATCCCGTTTGGGCAAATATTAGACATTTGGTGCACAATAAAAGGTAAATCGGACGAAGTTATATGTGGGAGCTATATCCAAATCTGAACCGATCTCGATAACATTTAGCAAATGTATTTCTGAGCTGCATTTGATATATTTCCCCAAATATTGTTGTTACAGAGTGCATATTATGGCTGCGGAGGACAAAAATAACAAATCGGATGAACAATATATATGGGAGCTATAGCTATATCTGAACCGATTTCGATAAAATTTGGCATACTTATTTTCAGGCCTAATTTGGTTGTATGTGCAAAATTCCATACTATTCGGGCTGATATTACACGTTTGGTGCACAATAAAAGGCAAATCGGACGAAGATATATATGGGAGCTATATCTAAATTTTGACCGATTATCTCCAATTTCAATAGGGTTCGTCCTTGGGCCAAACAAATGTTGTTTGCAAAATTTCATCTCAATCGGATAATAAATGCGACCTGCATTTTGTTCACAAGAATACATGGACAGACGGACGGACGGACAGACGGACTGACATGCATAAATCAACTCAGAAAGTGATTCTATGCAGATCATCAAAAGGAACTATGGGTCTATCTCGTTTCCTTTTGCCTGTTACAAACAAATGCACAAAGACATAATACCCTTACCACTATGTGGTGTAGGGTATAATTAAACTTCAATAAACATGTCAAATTGATTTTTTTCATGCGATATTTAGAATTATGAAAAATTACAAAATATACATCACAAAAAATTTTAACTCACATTTTTCTTAGCGTATTTTTAAGTGATATTTTTGATTTTATCCTTTCCCGGCCACGAGACCATTCCGAAATAGTGTGAATTGTAAAAACCAGACCAGCCGTTCGTGACTTATAAGCATAGTAACTATTATTTATTTTGTTCGCAATGAATATGATAAGTCAAATTGAAAAAAATCGTACATGATTCTTGATTTGTTACAGCAAATTTTTAAAGATACTTACCAAGTCCGCCAATAGAATGGACTATTATTTTAAAATCCGATTCCTTTGAAATGTTTTTCTTAATTCTTAATTTAAGAATGTTTTGCAATGAAATATTCTCTATATAAGTCATTTCTTAGCGATTTTAAAATAGTAATTATTCTTTAACTGAGGTGTGACTGCGCTAAATTATTTCGACATCATCTACTCAGTTCGCCACTACAAAATTCGGTACCACAATTCCATGTAACCCGCCCGCAATTTTCATTTTCGAAAAATCGTCAAAAATGTTAGTCAAATTCAAAAAACCGTTTGAACACGATAAAATATATTTTTTCATATCTTATCATCTTCTGAATAATGCGTATAGTTCCACTTACCCAATAAAGACATAAAATCTATAAATAACAGTTTAGTCCGTTGTCGATACATCCAACCGAAAAATACTACACATCATATTAAAATTCAAAAAGAAAAAAAAACACTACAAATGTAGATTCGAAAATGGTAAGTCAAAATGAAAAAATTACACAAAATAAAACGTTACTTTGTACATTTCAAAAGTCAATTTTCAAATTTAATGCAAGACACACACGATACAACCGTTGGTACAACCTAGAGGGTTGTCAAGTTGTATGCTTCGGCCACAAACGATACAACTTTTTATACAACCTCTTTGTACAACTTCACTTTTCGAAAAGTTCATTTGAGTTAAGATGACACCGGAAATAATTTCGTGCTCTATAATTTACTTAATAGTCTTTATTTACTTTTATTTTTTGAAATTTCGTTTTATATATATTTTAAGTTTTTTATATTTTTATTGAAATCACACATTTGATTGGATTTCGTATTGTTTTGATGTGCGCAAAAATGATGTTGCCTCCTCAAAAATAAACACAAAAATGAAATTGTATGCGACATGGCCACTAACGTTACAATTGGTTGGTACGAGACACAACTTCGTACAAGAGGGCCACAAACGATACAATCTTGAATACAACCTCTCCAAGTTGTACAACTAGTTTTATTGTGTGTGGCTTGCATAACATTTTTACGCGATTTTTTTTAGATTTTATCCTCTTCCGTCAAGAGACAATTCCGAATTTGTATAAATCGTTAAAATCAGATCAGCGGTTCTTAAGTTATAAGCGTAGTAACTAACACAACTTTCTTTTATATATATAGATAGATATAGATTTGTCTTCAGATTCCTTTAATAATTGAAATGATTTAGAAATTTTTTGACAAGAAAGTCACAATTTTGTTTTTGTTTTCATAGGGCGAAAACGTTACTATTGTACCTTATATAGGACTTGCATGGTATTTTTTCGCCTATGTTGCTACCTGGTATTTCTACCATGGGTCTAACATTTAATAATCGCGGAAAGGAGGGTATATTAACTTGTCATTCCGTTTGTAACATCCCTAAATATTCGTCGTAGACCCCATAATGTACAGATATTCATAATCAGTCTGTCTGTCTGTTGAAATCACGATACAGCCCACATTATTTGACGTAGAGCGTCAAAATTTAGCAGAATAATTTGTATTATGTCTAGGATGGTTGGTATTGAAAATGAGATATATCGGTCCATATAACGGTACCTCCCGATATTCGGTATTTTGATGATTTTTGTCACACTTTTTCACGGATTTGTCTGAAAATTGGTATTTGTAGGTCATAATGGGTCCTAGTTCGTGCGGCGAAACATTGTATGTATAGGTCCACGCTTTGGTATAGCCCCCATATAACGGTACCTCCCGATATGCGGTATTTTGATGATTTTTGCCGCATTTTTTCATGGGTTTGTCTAAAATTTGGTATTTGTTGGTCATAATGGGTTCTAGCTTCGGTCGCGAAACTTTGCATGTATAGGTCCACGTATTGGTATAGCCCCCATATAACTGTACCTCCCGATATTCGGTATTTTGATGATTTTTACCACATTTTTTCACGGATTTGTCTAAAATTTGATATTTGTTGGTCATAATGAATCCTAGTTTGTGCGCCGAAACATTGTATGTATAGGTTCACGCTTTGGTATAGCCCCCATATAATGGTATCTTCCGATATTCGGTGTTTTGATGTTTTTTGTCAACTTTTTATCACGGATTTGTCTAAAAATTGGAATCTGTTGGTCATAATAAGTTCTAGTTTGAAATTCCGTTTTATATATATTTAAGTTTTTTATATTTTTATTGAAATCACACATTTGATTGGATTTCGTATTGTTTTGATGTGCAAAAAAATGATGTTGCCTCCTCAAAAATAAACACAAAAATGAAATTGTATGCGACATGGCCACTAACGTTACAATTGGTTGGTACGAGACACAACTTCGTACAAGAGGGCCACAAACGATACAATCTTGAATACAACCTCTCCAAGTTGTACAACTAGTTGTATTGTGTGTGGCTTGCATAACATTTTTACGCGATTTTTTTTAGATTGTATCCTCTTCCGTCAAGAGACAATTCCGAATTTGTATAAATCGTTAAAATCAGATCAGCGGTTCTTAAGTTATAAGCGTAGTAACTAACACAACTTTCTTTTATATAGATAGATAAATATAGATTTGTCTTCAGATTCCTTTAATAATTGAAATGATTTCGAAATTTTTTGACAAGAAAGTCACAATTTTGTTTTTGTTTTCATAGGGCGAAAACGTACCTTTCTTTTATATAGGACTTGCATGGTATTTTTTCGCCTATGTTGCTACCTGGTATTTCTACCATGGGTCTAACATTTAACAATCGCGGAAAGGAGGGTATATTAACTTTGTCATTCCGTTTGTAACATCCCTAAATATTCGTCGTAGACCCCATAATGTATAGATATTCATAATCAGCATATAATTCTAAGACGATTTAACGATGTCCGTCTGTCTGTCCGCCTGTCTGTCTGTTGAAATCACGATACAGCCCACATTATTTGACGTAGAGCGTCAAAATTTAGCAGAATAATTTGTATTATGTCTAGGATGGTTGGTATTGAAAATGAGATATATCGGTTCATATAACGGTACCTCCCGATATTCGGTATTTTGATGATTTTTGTCACACTTTTTCACGGATTTGTCTGAAAATTGGTATTTGTAGGTCATAATGGGTCCTAGTTCGTGCGGCGAAACTTTGCATGTATAGGTCCACGTATTGGTATAGCCCCCCATATAACTGTACCTCCCGATATTCGGTATTTTGATGATTTTTACCACATTTTTTTCACGGATTTGTCTAAAATTTGATATTTGTTGGTCATAATGAATCCTAGTTTGTGCACCGAAACATTGTATGTATAGGTTCACGCTTTGGTATAGCCTCCATATAATGGTATCTTCCGATATTCGGTGTTTTGATGTTTTTTGTCAACTTTTTATCACGGATTTGTCTAAAAATTGGAATCTGTTGGTCATAATAAGTTCTAGTTTGAAATTCTTTGAAATTCCGTTTTGTATATATTTAAGTTTTTTATATTTTTATTGAAATCACACATTTGATTGGATTTCGTATTGTTTTGATGTGCAAAAAATGATGTTGCCTCCTCAAAAATAAACACAACAAGTAAGCAAAGGCTACAGTCGAGCGGGGCCGACCGTTGAATACCCTACAACTCTATAATAAACGATACAGTTTATATAGGCGAGATACTCGAAAGAATTACACAAGATATTGTGACAAATAATAAAAGAAAACCATCAGGTTTCGTTCTCTAATTTTCGAATAATAGCACCTTTAACTAATTTCCTCATTTCCAATTTATTGGAAGATGTTGCACGTAAATGGTCTTCCTAGATCTGGAACCAATATTTCCCAAAGACCTATAATCTCTCAGAAGTGGCAAAAGATTAACATTTATTATTAGTTTTTGACTGAAACGCATCTATATGAGATACAGATATTTGACTATATTCTTCAACGAAATCAGCGTTAACGAAATAGTCAGAAGTGCGTCTTTTCTGTATTTGTGAATTCTCCAAAAAGTCACTGGAATGGTCATTTTCGTATTTTGTCTACAAAAGTTGGCAAACTATTTCGCACATTGAATATTTTTGGATGGCCATCCAAAACTGCTTGGCTTTTTGCAATGCCCGTAACCCCCATTCAAATGAGCGTGAGGATCGGGCAATAATTACGACCTGCTGACAATTTTGCAGTTTCTAAATATATAGCGATTCAACCCCTAAATATACAGCGATCATCTCCAAAAAGAGTAGGCTTCTATTCTGACCCTCATCTGATCCCCATGCAAAATTTAGTTAGAATCGGGCCATAAATGCGATCTGTATATGATATCCTGAAATCCTAAATACTTAGTTTTGTTACCTGTAGAAATATTACCAAATGTTTAATTCAAAATGAAAATATGCCAAAAATATGACAAAATTGAAAAAATATGAGAAAATGTTATAAAATCAATATTTTCATCTTTAGAGAGATATTTTTATGCGATTTTTTAGCCGTTTTTTCTTTCCTACCAAGAGGTCGTTGTGAATTAATGAGAACTGTCGAAATCAGTTCAGCCGTTCTCGACATATAAGGGATCTTTCAAGCATATATTCTTTGATAGACACGAATATCGCACATATTTTGCTATATATCCGATTTGTTGGATGTTAACATCAATGTAAAGATCAGGAGTAACCTTGTCATGGCTTTGTGATTTCGCCGGAATTTAAAATATTCGCGATTTAATGAAAAATTATAAATTTTTTCAACACAAAAGATATGGTCTATTTTACCCGCTAAATATTATCCGATGACCACCCAAATTGGTAGGCTTCTTCCCCGCCCTAAACTCTAGCTACGTGCGAAGTTTTTGGTCCATTTCGACCCCTAAATATCATGCGATCATATCCAAAAGAAATAGGGTTCTATTCTGACCCTAGCCCCACCTCCATTCTAAATTTCGTGAAGATCGGGCCATAATTGCGACCTGTAGAGTGATTACAAAATAACATGGACAGACGGACGGATGGACATACATAGCTAGATCGACTCAGCTCGGCGAGATGGCAAGATCCATATATACTTTCCTATGTGGGAAATCAATATTTCGAGGTGTTAAATAATTTTTGGCCCAATCAAACTTATAATACCCCCAACACATAGTGTTGTAGGGTACAACATGCCAAATATCAAAAAATTTTGATTTTTTATACAACCGAGACACAACTTCGTACAACCGGGCCACAAACGATACAATTTTGAATATAACCTCACCAAGTTGTACAAACAGTTGTATTGTGTGTGGCTTGCATAAGATACGCGATTTTATCCTCTTCCGTCAAGAGACAATTCCGAATTTGTATAAATCGTTAAAATCAGATCAGCGGTTCTTAAGTTATAAGCGTAGTAACTAACACAAGTTCTAGCTCCGTTGGCGAAATATTGTATGTATAGGTCCACGGTTTTGTATAGCGCTATATAGCTGTAACTCCCGATATTCGGTATTTTTATGATTTTTGCCACATTTTCCGACGAATATGTCTAAAAATTGGTAGTGTTTCCATTACCCTAAGGTGGAGAGTATTAAAAACTTAATGTTTTTTTTACTTGGTTTTTTAGTTTCGCATTTGAATATTATAATGGTTTATGACAAAATTTGCCTATGCAGGTCCACGTCGTCATTTAGACCCTAATATGACGGCTACATTTGGTATTTTTAAGATTTCAATAGAATATTTTTTTTTTTCGAACGTTCCCACGCCTCACATTCTTACCCCTGCCGACCGAGGGGGCAACCTCCCTTTACGGAGGGATCGCGTACACATCATGATCCGCATCATAATGAGAATTCAGTAGGAAATTGAAAACCAGCTACAGAATCTAATTCATCAGCTAGTTTGTCAAATAATAAAACATGTATGTTAATTGTTTAAAAATAAAATTATTCTAGATTTAATAACTTCTAAACTCATACAAAAATCTACATTACAATACACAGAATTAAAGTCAACACACATTTTATTAAGAGGTTCGCCCATTGAATTGAATTGGTAGTATCTACTAGATCTAAAAGGAACATTAATTCTAATAGATGAGATTCGGAAATCTGAAGGTATATAACCATTTAATATTTTTAGTACAAACATGGAGTTCAACATAATACGTCCGCTTTTAAGTGTAGGCAATCTAATTAATTTTAGCCTGCTAGCATAAGAAGGCAAAACAAAATCACTATTCCAATGTAAACCTCGTAAGGCAAATAGCAGAAATTGTTTTTGCACGGATTCTATTTTATCTGAATATATTGCATATTGAGGATCCCATACAACAGAACCATATTCCAATATAGGTCTAACAAGAGACGTAAATAACTGTTTTGTTATATATGGATCAGAAAATTCTTTGGCCCACCGTTTAACAAAACCTAAAACACCATTTGCTTTATTTACCATTGTTATTACATGACTATTAAAATTTAATTTTGGATCCATCAAGAGGCCTAGATCGACAAATGAATCTACAGTTGATAATGAATGACCGTCTATATATATCAGAGAAGAAGATGTGGCGAAGCACATATGCTTACATTTGCTTAAATTTAACTCCATACAATTTAACATGCACCATTTAAAAAGGCTATCTAAATCGTTTTGAAGTAAACTGGCTCGTTTATCACAATTATGGGAAATGAATAATTTAACATCATCTGCGTACATTAACAATTTCGAGTAATTTATGGAATTAGGTAAATCGTTGATAAATAAAAGAAAGAGGACCGGTCCAAGGTGACTTCCTTGCGGAACACCCGATGGAACGTTAATCGTTTTGGATAGATACCCTTCAAACAAAACTAGTTGTGATCTATCTTTTAAGTAAGATGATATCCATTTGACTAAGTTTGTGGTGAAACCCATATAATTTAATTTATATATTAGGAGTTCATGGTTAACCCTATCAAAAGCGTTACTAAAATCAGTATAAATTGTATCAGTTTGTTTACGCTGAACAAATCCTTTTATTACTGTTGACGTAAATTGTATAAGATTTGTTGTAGTTGAAAGACCACTACGAAAACCATGCTGATATGGACTCAATATAGATTGAATTTTCTGTGAAATTACTGCAGTAATTAATTTTTCAAACAATTTTGGTATGGCACTTAATTTTGCAATTCCTCTTTAATTTGACACATTAGTAAGACTACCAGACTTATGTAAAGGTATAATATAAGATTTTTTCCAGAAAGTAGGAAAGTGACCAAATTTCAGTGAATAATTAAACAATATAGTTAACGGAAGTGCTAATGTTTCTGAACAATATTCAAGAATTATATTAGGTATGCCATCCGGTCCTGGACATTTAATCGATTTTAAACTACGCAGACTATTGTACACATCCTGACGTTGTAGAAAAGGCATACAAATTTGATCAGCCTGTGATAACTTATAAGGATACGAATATTTAATTTGGCAAGATGTACTGGAATAGGTTGTGGCAAAAAAAATCTGCGAAACATTCAGCAATATCTGTGCCTGTGACAAATTGCTATCAGTATATAAACTGGTTAATTTTGTATTAAGCCCCCTTACATTCTGATAGCAAATAGAAAATGAGTCATTTAGTTTTTTGGCACCGAATCTCTCCACAAATTTTTTAATAAATGCCCTAGCAGGCCAAAATTCTTTTAAAATCAACTGTACAAAAATATTTCAATAGGTTGTGGCAAAAAAATCTGCGAAACATTCAGCAATATCTGTGCCTGTGACAAATTGCTATCAGTATATAAACTGGTTAATTTTGTATTAAGCCCCCTTACATTCTGATAGCAAATAGAAAATGAGTCATTTAGTTTTTTGGCACCGAATCTGGTCTAAGAGACAAATGAGCTAAATTATCGGATCTCTCCACAAATTCTTTAATAAATGCCCTAGCAGGCCAAAATTCTTTTAAAATCAACTGTACAAAAATATTTCAATAGGTTGTGGCAAAAAAATCTGCGAAACATTCAGCAATATCTGTGCCTGTGACAAATTGCTATCAGTATATAAACTGGTTAATTTTGTATTAAGCCCCCTTACATTCTGATAGCAAATAGAAAATGAGTCATTTAGTTTTTTGGCACCGAATCTGGTCTAAGAGACAAATGAGCTAAATTATCGGATCTCTCCACAAATTCTTTAATAAATGCCCTAGCAGGCCAAAATTCTTTTAAAATCAACTGTACAAAAATATTTTCAGGCACAACGATTTTGAAAGAAGATCTACTTTCAGAAAATGCAGATCGGAGCTTATAGCATCTCAAAAAGTAATCTCCCTCAATTTTTGATTTTATGTAATACATTATGTCATCGGCCGTTGTTTCTGGCGCAAACCTTGTTGCAAATATCATTTTCATGGCGGGAGCCATAGATAATGATCTTTGGACAGGTTGAGTTTTGCCAGTAGCAGTCTCGGGACGATCACTAGTGATAAGTGAAGGAAGTAATAATTCCTGTATGTTACGAGTAGATTGGGAGGTTTTCTTAGAAACCTCACTATCAATACTCATAACTTCAGGATTATTTACCCGTTTCTGGCCAGAAACTGGCGGTGACGACACAAACTCATCTAATTCTTGGTATTTCTCAAACAATGTAGAGAAATTCTCGAATCGGAGTGATAGTGAGGAAAAATCTTTTTCGTCGATGTCAATTCCGACTGCAAATCCTTTACAAAATTATAAAAATCTGCAGAGAGTTTCCTACATTGCACACAACACCAACATTATTTCTAATTGTGTCTACAACTTTTGCATTAATCCTAGCACATTTTGCATGCCATTGATTAAGACAAAACCAACAGGTAACACACAATTCATCCTCTGCAACAATATTACATAATTCAAAAGGGCACGACATTTTTTATTTTAATTATTATTTATTTTAATTATAATTATTTCTTTTTTAATACACAAGTTATAGCTATATTTTTCAAGATTAGATCTGTAGCTGGAATTTTTTATTTATTTATTTATTTTATTCTTTTTTAAATTCTTTTTTAAATGTTGGCAACTCTTATGAGATGACAAACAAAACAAGACGATATGTTACAACAACTAATTAGCTAATGTAACAAAAAAAAGAGGATAAAAGGAGAATGTACAACTACACAATTTGAAAATTGATATTACTTTAAAAGACAAAACAAAATTTTAAAACACTACACCAATTATCACTTTGAGTTACAAAATCACTATTGAACACTTTAATACACTTTTTTACCAGATTAATTAATTTAATAAAACATATAACTTAATTTTTTTCAAAAGCACGGAGCACCACAATTTTTTGACACTAATCATAACAGGGTTGCCAACTATGATTTAACGGATTTTATTTCTTTTGAAAATTGCAAACTCTTTCCAAATGGTGGAGGGTATTTAAAGTTTGGCCCGGCCGAACGTACAGCTTTTTTACTTGTTTTTTACATATGTAGTGTAAAATATTCCATATGTCAAAATACACATATTGTGTGGTACATGGACGACAATTTAGTCGTGAAATACATGAGTAAGGTTCATATTTAATTTTTCGATCACAGCGAACGTATTCATCGGAAATATATAATTTAATCAATCATTATGAATCATATGTAAAATTACAATTTTGACATACACACGGTAATACACATGGATAATAAAATTAACAGCGCATATGTAAAACATATATCGTCTGATGACAGCTTTAAAGATCTACTTAGTTTGTAAGATGCACAAAAAGTCACAGATAGCTGACTGAGCGAGCGATTCTTCAACTCATTTTTGATTTACCGACAAAAATCGTTAAAATTCAAATGCTTATGACATTGGTAATTGAACGCGAAATTATGAATGAAAGGTTAAGAAGTTGACAGAACTATTTAATTTAAAAATTGGTATTATCGATAATTGTCAATACTTGCTCTGTACAAGAACATGCAAGAATCTGCTATTGTTGCAATTTTTCCGATATCATAAAAGTAAAATCGTTTATAGTAGTAAAAACTTTTATATTCTTGCAGTTCTGGAACAGAGCGTTGGTTAGAGAATCGCAGTACTGATCACAGTATGCGAACCCAAAAAAAAAATCGATTACTTTTATGTTTTTGGTACCGAAATCGACAAAAGTAGAATTAAGTTTCCCTATATATCAAAATGATACGGACCATTGTGGGAGAGGCATTTACCCGGCAGAAGCTTTCCGGTGGCAAAGTTCATGAAATTTTACAACATGGAAATATATTTGGAATGCGGAGGTCAACATCATCTTATCCCATTGCAAGTACACATAGTGAAATAGAAAACCAACATAAGAACGAAAAACTACTGAGGAGATTGGTTACATATGTTGAGAAATCTACATACATGGAGGAAGTACGAATTGCTCAAAATCGTGTCATGAGTATAAAGGTTTGTTGTCTCCTACATGTATTGAGGCTAGATTTTGTAAATTTGTTTTTTTAGGGTCAGTTGCTAGCAGCTGGAGATGAAAAACGTTCGCTAATGCGTAAACTTGAAGATATTAGAAACGAACTGAACCACATCTATAAAGATATGAAAATTAATAGAACGAAGGAGGCGTATTTAGAGTTAGCACGTCAGGAAATTGAGGTATGAGATCCATATAAATAGTTCAGTGATCTACGCAAACTTTTCTTATTTTCTAAACCTTACTTAAGGGAAATTTGCGACTTAACATTCATTTGGCACGAGAGATATTTCGAAACAACTCTGGTTTAGTAAAAAACGAACTTACATTAACCATCTTATTGCGAAAAACTGTCATATATACACTTTTTGTTTACTTTACCTTCTCAATTTTACCATGCATGGGCATTTTGTTGGAAATGTTTCGACAGCCTAATGATTTCGTGCTACCGTGGACAATGCCTTTCTATAAAGTCGATCCGATCTGTCGATACAGTTTGTACATTGGATACTTTTTTTTTTCGAAAGCCGGCCTTCGACTTTTTTAATTTTAGATTGTTTCTAAATTGGATAACTTCATACATAGCTTGATAGTATAAAAAATGTATCATTCAAAGTAATTTATTTAAATCAGGTTAAGAAATGAGAAGGTAGGTGTTCTATAGCTAATAACTTCCAGGAAAGTTATAGATACTTATGACACAATTTTCGAAATGTTAGAGTCCAAGCAATATCTGTTCCCTCCATCAAATTCATTGACCAAATAATGGGCCCTTTAGATCTAAACAAATAGATATATTCTCATTATATTTCAAACACTAACTGTTCAAGAAACTGTTGAATAAACCAAAACTTGTGAGGTCCTAACTCAGGAAGTATGCATTTCCATAATAACAATCTGAAGTAATTTTAAGTGGAGTCTTTAAAATTTAAGGCTTAATATAACAAATACCTGATTTTTCTGTTTTTATTTTTTAAAATCAATAGATAAAGACACAACCTTGGTAGAAGAATGCAGGTTGTCGCATCGAAACAGTGGCTGGGAGTACGTTACAAAAATAAGGTAGAGCAACTTCATAAAAGTACAATAATATAGCCCTGAGGCTATGACCGCTTCCCGTCAGAATTGTTTAAAACTATGCGCAACAAGTTGTTTTCATTAATTTGGAATTTTTCCTCATTTTTTAATTGAGTTAAATAGCGCGAAAGATGAATGGAATGTCTGTATTTTCTTTCAAAAATATGATGTAAACTATTAAATCTTCCAGTTATCAGTAGTATCAGTTGGTAGCTCTACTTAATTTGAACACGTGTATAACAGCGTTACGTAAAATTGAACGCAGCACAAATATAATAAATACTTCCCCACTATGGTAAAATGATTTGCACGAAAATTGAAAATTAAATGAGGAAAAATTTCAAATTAATGAAATGCGCATAGTATATATATATATATATATATATATATATATATATATATATATATATATATATATATATTTCCAACTTTAAGTATATATGTTGAATATACATATATATATATATATATATATATATATATATATATATATATATATATATATATATATATATATATATATATATATATATATATATATATATATATATATATATATATATATATATATATATATATATATATATATATATATATATATATATATATATATATATATATATATATATATGTATGTATGTATATTCAACATATATACTTAAAGTTGGAAATTGCTCATTGTGGGATAAGATACGTTGTATTAGACGGAATTAAAACAAATTTTAGAAAATTGAATTTTCTGACCAATCTGTAAAGAAAGTTGCAATCATTTCAGCCATTTTATTAGGGCAACCATGTACCGGGAGATCTCTATTGCTGATATCAAAAAGTTTGAAATTTCTAATCCTCTTCTGCATTCCGCACCAAAAGAAACGTTAAATGTTCCTTAGCGGTCTTAAACTTTTCAGAAGCTACTCAATCCGAACAGGCTTACTCTTCTATTAATGCCTCTTTCTGTACATTTGCCCGGAAGCTGTTAAACAAATCATTGCCGCCTTCGAAATCATTATTAGGCATAATCTTTCTTAAGCTCGTAGTAAATAAAAATAAGTTTATTTTTCTTCATGTCCCTGCTCAGTGGAGTGGCAATATTATCTAATTTCCGCTGCAAATTGTTTTTAATGTTGTATTCTTGCCGCAAATAAACAAGTATTTGACCACCACTTATAAAAACAATAACAAAGAAAAACAATAACAATTCACCTTTTTTACGCTCATGTGACTGTCAATGTTGCCAAACTTTGCAAAATTTCCAAAAGACAGACCTACACAATTTGAAATTCAGCGACTCTAATTAGCATTAATATTAGTAGAAGAAATTATTGTTTTACCTCCAAAGATATATTTTATCTTTCATTTAACAATTTTCATTTATGGCGGAGAGTCACTTGCTAAACATTTTTTGATGATAAAACATTTTGAAAATATTGCCTCTTTTGTTTCCAGTTTTCTGTCGTGGACAAAAAGCGTACCCATGGTAGAAATAAGAAGATAAAGTCATGCAAACATATGTTTACAATTTTTTTTTCCAAATTATTTATTTCACAACATCTCATAGTCAAAATTTATATTTATAAATCCATTGTATACACATAAATCAGAAATTGGAACCTGTTTTCTATGCATTGAAATTTGACTAGGTAAATTACAGAAAATGCAGAGATGGATAGTCTTTTTTGAAATGACTACCTCCTTAATTTTAACATGAGCGTACCTCAAATGAGAGAGAAAATAAAATTTACTTTGGTTTGAATGCACATGTGTCATTCAACATTATAACTTTCATTCATAATTTTCAGTCTTCCTGTAAAACTTTAAAATTTCATTAAATTTTTCCATTTTGAATTTTGAAAAGTCATAATTTATTTTTTCGATAAATGCTCTCATTTGTTAGGGATGGCACACACTTCATCGTATTTCTAATAGCATGTTTCCATAATTTATTTTTTCGATAAATGCTCTCATTTGTTAGGGATGGCACACACTTCATCGTATTTCTAATAGCATGTTTCCATTGGAAACCGAACAACGTTGTTCGCTCTCAGAATTAGGTACACGAATTAACACGTTCATACGGCACGATTCGTAATTCATAGTAAAATAATTCCTTTTTTTCAAAAATTTTGTTTTTGATTTTAATGGGAATTTGTACTAAAATTCATTAAATTCTCACTAATATGAATAAAAGAAATGATTGTTTTTTTCGAAAAGATTTATTATATCATTAATTTTATAATTTTCATTCACGTTTTCAACTTTTTGTGTAAATGTTGACATTTTGAACATATTTTTGTATTTTTCTATTTTTGAATTCTGCTGGAGAGACACTTGTCAAACATTTTTTCTGCCGATACACACATTTTGAAAATATTGCCTCCATTGTTTCCAGTTTTCTGTGGAAATTTCAAACGGTGGACAAAATGCGTACCACGAATGAGAAAGAAAACAAAATGTACTTTCCTTTGAATGTACATACGCTATTCAACATTGTAGTTTTCATTCATAATTTTCAGTCTTCCCAAACATTTTTAAAATTTCATTAAATTTTTCTATTTTCAATTTTTAAATGTCATAATTTAATTTTTCGATAAATGCTCTCATTTTTTAGGGATGGAACACATTTTTTTATTGTTCTGAGAGTGGTTTGATTTGAACAATATACAAATATGAGTGTTCGCACAGGAAATTTTGTGTGAAGAATTAGTTGTTTTTTCATAGTTAAGGTCAAATAACGAATAGAGAGCGAATCAAGTGCAGTGGAAACGCCACATAAGAGTAATTTGAATGGAACAAAATCTCAGAAAACTTTGTGATTAGATATTTCGTAATTAATAGTCGAAAAATGAATAGAGAGCGAAACACGTGCCATGTGAACTTAGCATTACATTCCTGCAGTTCTGGAACAGACCCATTGTTTCTATCTGTATGCCTTATAGAATGTTTCCATTAGTTTTCTAACAACGTTCGCTCTCAGAATAAGGCACACGTATCAACCCACACGGCACCATGGTATTCATAGTAACATAATTCATATTTTTCGATGGGAATTTGAAATTCCCTATTTTATTTAAATGTATTGAGAAAGTGGTTCAATATTGAATATTGATTTATCGGTTCCCATTTCGACGACTTGATTAAATCTAACTATGCATGGCCGCCAGTCCGCCGATTCATGTTAATTTACAATAATTCACACTTCGCATTTTTTAAATTATAGATGAGTTGCTATAGAAAAGTTTGCCATTACCGATTTGGCAAATCAGATTACCTCTTTAATTATGCCATAATGTACATCTGTAAAATTTAAATATTTTATTGAAAAATCATTGTTTTGTTTCCACTTGTTGTTACCTTTATTATTCTTCCATGATTCAGCATATAGAAAAATAATAAATTCCATCAAAAGTGACTTTTATTTAATAGCCAAACTTTCATTTCAAATTAAAACCTTGGAGTAATCAATATTATCTACCAGCAAAGATCTTATGATAACTTATTAGATACTAATCTTATACCTTTTATATTCACAATTTTGTTATAGCTTTGCGAGTCGGAAAAACATTATTCTGATTTATATAAAATGGCCGATAAGAAGGAGCAACTGCTGTTTACCGAGTTTTCGGCTGCTATTAATGCATCGTATGAAAAAGAAAAACTGCACACAAACTTCATTAAAATTATCAGTATAGTTGGTACAGTTGCAAGTTCATTCATAGCTTTAATATTTTCTATCTTCATGCACACGTATCACCAAAAAATGTTTTTTAGTCAACGAACATTAGATGAAAACGTTGTTAATACAGTCAAGGCTTTGGAAGAGAAAGTCACTGAATTACTAACGGAATGGGATCAACAAAAAACTCTTCTAGAAAACAGTAATAAAGCAGAGAAAGAATCCTGGAGAAGTTACTTGTACCGGCATACGCGATGGATGTACTCTTGGGCTATAAAATCTTCCTGAATGGCTCATGGTGAATGTTTACTAATGATTGTAAATAAACGATACTTTAAGTAGACATAAATTATTTAAAATGTTTGATTTAACAATACCGAAAAATAACTGACCAAGACAGGCCTCCCAGGTAACCAAGTTTATATTTTATATATTATATATACTAGCTGGCCCGGTCCGCGTTGCCGGCCGTACTTTTAGTCTTTAAAGCATAATAAATCACAGATCTGACTTATGTAGGCGGCACAATTTTGATTATAAGTAATGACTCCATTATAATGACTCCAATTTTGATTATATGTAATAACTTGATTATAAGTAATGACTCCATGACTAAATATAAATTAATATTTATGGCAAAAATTATAATTAATGATCTTATATTTCAGCTATAGGCTTTAATTTGAGTTTTAAATACCTATATGATAAAGAACATCTATAATAGCCCCATGTGAAAATTCAGCTCAATTTTTGGTATTGTAAAAAGCATTCAAATGAGCTATAATTTGAAATTTGTATTTCCAACGTTTAAAATCCCGTACTGCGTGGTTTTTAGTTTTGTCCACCTCATACTTGAAGGCAGAAAGTTGTCAGAATAGGCAAAAAAATACTCTTTTACTTATATTACCATAAGATGGGCATTAATTGTTTGTCATTTAAATTGTGCGGTGGAGATCCAATAAAGTTACTTTATAATTTCGTATTTTTTCATATTTCTGCCACAATTTCCGACTGAATGAGTCCCAGATTGACATTTCGGAGTTTATTTCATATAGACGTACATCCCAAATCTACGTTCCCAACCAATATTCTCTTGGGGGTTACAAATTCAATAGAATACCAAATTTTCTTTTTTGACCACACATTGGTTGGGAAATGCCTATGTGGATAATTATCTGTAAGATGATTTTTTACCCCAGGGTTTTTTTTGACCTCAGGTAGCCTCAAGACCAAGATGCGCCCTTTTCCAAAAAATAAAAATTTTATAAGAAGAGATTTTTTTCCTGCTTAGAAACAAAGTTGTCAAGTGAAAAAAGTTGCCAAGACCCCGAAAATACCTTATATCATATGATTAAATTATCAACATAAAGCAAAATTAGTACGAAAAATATGGTTAAAATGTAGAATGTACTTGAAATCGAGGTGTTCCGTTATCGGGGGTTATGACCCATATCATGACCTGCCAAAGCGATTATAGGTATCTTGAATGTTTAGGAAGAATTTCTATTTTGCGTCCTTTATATTCGGTATTTGACTGATTGCAGTCCCAATGTATTTTGCATTTTGTGTTCTCATTTGACAATTTATTGTCATATGAAAGAAGCAGGTCCACCTTTTGAAATGAACCCCATAAAGTTTTTTCGGTCATTTTTGTTTGTTTAAATGTGTTCGCATCTTCCAGAGGAAGCACGATGTAGGTCCTCGAGTAGAAAGCATTTAACATCGTATTGCGCCCTCATTTCATTTTTAATATTATTCATTCAGAATTCAAAACAATAAAAAATGTACACTTCAATATAGAAAAAGAAAAGAATCTTCAACTGGTTCGCTGATTTTTTGTGGCAAATTTTTAAAGGCTGAATCATTAAAATCAGACTGGTGGTCTTTATGTTATAAGAGTAGTAACTAACACAACTTTCTTTTACATACAGAGAGATAGATTTAAAAGTAGGCGCGTTCCTCAGCCCCTAAATAAGTACTTAGGGTTGGATGGAAAGCCAACAGCATCTCGTGTAATAATTTTCAAACCGATATCTTCATTATCTGGCAAATATAAAGATTTTAGATAAATCAAGATAGTGGGCGTAAAAGTAGGCGTGGTCAATATTTTTTTCTTTAAAAACCTAACTCGGGGTATGACGAACTTTTGTAAAAAAAAATATGCAAATCGGTCCAGCCGTTTTTAACTGATTCCGTTACCAACAAACAACAATTGATTTTTATATATATAGATTAGAATTATATATATTAATCTAAATTTTTCAGATTATGATGGTCTTCATAGTACCACGATAGAAGAATACTGATAGGTACATCCATGGTACAAAAAGGAGGTATAACCTTTTTGTAAAAGTATAAAAAAACAGTCCTTAAGGCTATGTCCAATTATTATTAAAAATTATATACTCAATAAGTTGTTTTTATTTTTTGATATTTTCCCGAGTTAAAAACCGTGAAAATGCATGAAATGCCTCGATTTTCTTTAAAAAATAGCATCTAAACTGTTCAACTTTATTGGCATCTTGAAAGTGCGCCCTGGAACGCACGTTTCTTCCAATCTTTGATAATGAAAATATTGTTTTTTGTTTTTAAAAACAATAAATACATACACAAAAATGGCAGAAGTCGGGCGCACTTAGAAAACAATTGTAATCAGCTGGTAGCTATCTTACCTTTTTATTGCACCATGGGTACCATCAGCACTTGTGAAGATGGATGTGCCAAAAATATTTAAAAAAGGTATTTCTCATTATAGGTTTTATGGTGTCTGTTTTATGTATTAAAAATGTTTTTGACAGCTGTGTTGATGCGGCTACATCAATTATCTTGGTACCGACTCATTGGCCCAATTCACACGAGAGTAATTGTTTTGGTCTAACAAAGCAGCTTGTATGCATTTTCGGTGAGGAGAGTCGTTTTTGGTTAGACTAAAAATTCAAATGTGTATACATATTCAATTTAAGACAGTTTCATTGGTCTCGAGTATTTTGGAAAGAAAAATTTAGTTTGGAATAAAAATTACTCTCATGTGAATTGAGCCATTGTAATGATTGACTTCATAAACGCAATTTGCAATGCAATAATTAAAGACCTACACAATTTGAAATTCAGCGACTCTAATTAGCATTAATATTAGTAGAAGAAATTATTGTTTTACCTCCAAAGATATATTTTATCTTTCATTTAACAATTTTCATTTATGGCGGAGAGTCACTTGCTAAACATTTTTTGATGATAAAACATTTTGAAAATATTGCCTCTTTTGTTTCCAGTTTTCTGTCGTGGACAAAAAGCGTACCCATGGTAGAAATAAGAAGATAAAGTCATGCAAACATATGTTTACAATTTTTTTTTCCAAATTATTTATTTCACAACATCTCATAGTCAAAATTTATATTTATAAATCCATTGTATACACATAAATCAGAAATTGGAACCTGTTTTCTATGCATTGAAATTTGACTAGGTAAATTACAGAAAATGCAGAGATGGATAGTCTTTTTTGAAATGACTACCTCCTTAATTTTAACATGAGCGTACCTCAAATGAGAGAGAAAATAAAATTTACTTTGGTTTGAATGCACATGTGTCATTCAACATTATAACTTTCATTCATAATTTTCAGTCTTCCTGTAAAACTTTAAAATTTCATTAAATTTTTCCATTTTGAATTTTGAAAAGTCATAATTTATTTTTTCGATAAATGCTCTCATTTGTTAGGGATGGCACACACTTCATCGTATTTCTAATAGCATGTTTCCATAATTTATTTTTTCGATAAATGCTCTCATTTGTTAGGGATGGCACACACTTCATCGTATTTCTAATAGCATGTTTCCATTGGAAACCGAACAACGTTGTTCGCTCTCAGAATTAGGTACACGAATTAACACGTTCATACGGCACGATTCGTAATTCATAGTAAAATAATTCCTTTTTTTCAAAAATTTTGTTTTTGATTTTAATGGGAATTTGTACTAAAATTCATTAAATTCTCACTAATATGAATAAAAGAAATGATTGTTTTTTTCGAAAAGATTTATTATATCATTAATTTTATAATTTTCATTCACGTTTTCAACTTTTTGTGTAAATGTTGACATTTTGAACATATTTTTGTATTTTTCTATTTTTGAATTCTGCTGGAGAGACACTTGTCAAACATTTTTTCTGCCGATACACACATTTTGAAAATATTGCCTCCATTGTTTCCAGTTTTCTGTGGAAATTTCAAACGGTGGACAAAATGCGTACCACGAATGAGAAAGAAAACAAAATGTACTTTCCTTTGAATGTACATACGCTATTCAACATTGTAGTTTTCATTCATAATTTTCAGTCTTCCCAAACATTTTTAAAATTTCATTAAATTTTTCTATTTTCAATTTTTAAATGTCATAATTTAATTTTTCGATAAATGCTCTCATTTTTTAGGGATGGAACACATTTTTTTATTGTTCTGAGAGTGGTTTGATTTGAACAATATACAAATATGAGTGTTCGCACAGGAAATTTTGTGTGAAGAATTAGTTGTTTTTTCATAGTTAAGGTCAAATAACGAATAGAGAGCGAATCAAGTGCAGTGGAAACGCCACATAAGAGTAATTTGAATGGAACAAAATCTCAGAAAACTTTGTGATTAGATATTTCGTAATTAATAGTCGAAAAATGAATAGAGAGCGAAACACGTGCCATGTGAACTTAGCATTACATTCCTGCAGTTCTGGAACAGACCCATTGTTTCTATCTGTATGCCTTATAGAATGTTTCCATTAGTTTTCTAACAACGTTCGCTCTCAGAATAAGGCACACGTATCAACCCACACGGCACCATGGTATTCATAGTAACATAATTCATATTTTTCGATGGGAATTTGAAATTCCCTATTTTATTTAAATGTATTGAGAAAGTGGTTCAATATTGAATATTGATTTATCGGTTCCCATTTCGACGACTTGATTAAATCTAACTATGCATGGCCGCCAGTCCGCCGATTCATGTTAATTTACAATAATTCACACTTCGCATTTTTTAAATTATAGATGAGTTGCTATAGAAAAGTTTGCCATTACCGATTTGGCAAATCAGATTACCTCTTTAATTATGCCATAATGTACATCTGTAAAATTTAAATATTTTATTGAAAAATCATTGTTTTGTTTCCACTTGTTGTTACCTTTATTATTCTTCCATGATTCAGCATATAGAAAAATAATAAATTCCATCAAAAGTGACTTTTATTTAATAGCCAAACTTTCATTTCAAATTAAAACCTTGGAGTAATCAATATTATCTACCAGCAAAGATCTTATGATAACTTATTAGATACTAATCTTATACCTTTTATA